CCCCCCCCCCCCCCTCCCACACACACATTTATGCATATACATAATATATGAATATACATATATACTATGTATGAATGTATACATTTTATATATCTACAGATAAATAGATATACACATAATAAGATAAAGTTAGTATTCGTTGGTTTACATCGATTTTTAATCTTTTGGTGCGCCCCTCGTTTTTTATTGAATGATATGCTTGATATGCATACGGGTCTTGCGTGTCCCTTGGATAGTATCGGGACAAAGTTTGACAATTAGAGAGGAGAATCGAGGCGCCCGGACGATTCGGCGCCGCGCCGGAGAACACACCCTAAACGCCGCAGAGACCGGCGAGACCGGCAGGCGGCATACGGACTGAGGTCAGAGCCCCCGGACCCCGATGGCCACGTTCTCGAGTGAGGATGGGCGCTGCGAAGGAAGAAGTTGCTGTGAGCCTGTATCAGACGGCTGACAACGGCAGTGGTGCACGTCGGAGATCCGTCGCCTCCGTGGCTCTCAACTTGGAGTTGCCAATCGAGCGATAACGTGATCTGAAAGGAGGTCCCTTGAAGGGACTCGATCCTTTGACTTTTGTATCTATTCCCTTTAATCTGGATCTATAATGCAGTAGGTATTTTAAGCTTTAAGCCGTAAGAAATTGACCAATTACAGTCGAATGCTAGGAAAATAATTGACTATGATTCCATTTCTTATGGCTCAAGACTTAAAAACCTATTGTAAATTCGAATTTATGCGAAAGATCGAGTTGATATGAGTTTATTGTACAAGTTGAACCTGAATCGAACAACGTAAAATAAATATGAAATTGATTACGTTTCTGAAGATGTTTCGATTTCTAGAATAATAACAATCATATAAAGAATGATAAATTACAAAACTTTTTAACATATAAAAAACAAAACATTTACTAAATTACAATCTATAATTATGTATAAGCTGTAAACTATAGGTCTGCTTTTTGTTCCTGCACTGTCTAGTGCACACGGTGCAGAAACAAAAAACAGACCCTATATGTATAAACTCGGTTCATCATGTGTCATATGTTTCAGCTTTTTAATTGAGCCATCTTCAGATATTCGAATAAACACAGATGAACCAGAAAAAACGCAGAAATAGAAAAGTATCATAAAGTATATAAGTTAGATGTGACCCGATGAAAAATATAGAGAAACAAATTGTTCGTAAATGATTGAAAGACCGATTGTTGGAAATTTCCTGATATTCAAAATGGTCTTACAATTATCCTTCGCATGATAAGATGCTCGTCACAGTGGTATACCAAATAGTCAGTGTAACTATAACATTAAAAAATTGAGTTGTTAAAAGAAATAAAAAATATAAATGTCAGTCAAAAATTAAAAATTGAAGTGTATGACTGATGTAACGAGCACTGACTAATATAAAAATAATAATAATAATTTTTATTGCTAATTAATAAAAGAGTAAAGGAAAAATGAGAAATATTTCTTTAATGTCATTATTATACTTGCTTTTGAAACAAGCACTTTTTACGGTTAATCTGGCGAAGAAAGCCGTGGAAGAGGGCTTATTGAATGGGATCCTTAATGAGAGCAAGGATTTCGTCATTGACAGGAGTTTTTATTGGAATGAAACCAATGAAGGGATAACGCAATAATAAAATTGATTTTTTCTTTGATTCTTTTGTTTGCTTTTTCTCGTTATCCCTATCGTTTAATCTAATTAAACTATAACGATCGAATTCAGCTTATTACACGGAGCTTGTTAGATTAAGATTACTCCAACGTTTGTAACGAATACGTCTTCTTTTTTTGTAATTGCAGCACTTAAAACTTTGGCGTCATTGTTTGTCGCCAAAGTAAAGTTACGAAAGTTATCTTAAGATGTATATAATTTTATTATTCTCTGTTTTAGATTATAAAACTGCATAGATAAAAAAAGATGTTAGGAGAATTCTAAAGAAGGACAGAAAGTTTTGGAGAGAGAATTTTTTTTTTAACTAAGGATTAAATTATATAAACTCCATACCACAATAAAATTGATTCAAATCAGGTTTTATCTTCGAGCGGATTAATTATCGAAAAAACCTTACGTATTTTTTTTCGATATCATTAATATTACCTAAGGTTTTTTCGATAAACCTTATTTAAATCAATTCTATTGTGATATGGAGTTTAAATAATTCAATCCTAATTATCGACGAATTGTCTCAAGCGATAAGCTTCTAAAAGGAAATTATTACAACGTTAACATTTGTGTCTTCACCTGTCTCAATTTCTAAATCGAGCCATTTAACGATGCTTTAAGTCAATTAAATTGTCACCTTTTGTGCAAGACAATTAACTGACAGTTAACTGAAGGATAAGAACCGTAATATGTAAAATCGTTTTTCTTTGTTTATCATTTTAATATAAATCTGACCATGACTTTGGTCGTTTATCATGAAAATTTTATTCTTCATTGATTTCCACGGGTAATCGACTCGCCGTTTCCCCAGCTGCGTCACTACATGCGAGTTCCAACAAAGCAGTGCCTTCGATCGTTTATCCAGTGGAAAACTTTACACAAAGCGCGATCATTACATGGCCCATATTTCCCAGTTGCTCTATCGCAACATTCTATTGAATCTTAAGGGTGGGAATAACGACTTCAATTTTATTCTCGCAAATCCTAGTTTAAAGAAAGGAATTTAGGGAAAGGGATATATATAGGTATATATATATTGTATATGTGTGTACACATATCTAAGATATTTTCAAAATTGAATCAAGGACTTCACACAGATTTCCAGAGTCTTAGACGAATATTCATAACTTTTTATATTTATATTTTTATATTAGACAGTTTTTAGTACAGTCTTAAGGTATCATAGTCATAAATCAATTACATAGCTGTGTTAGTGTCATAACACAATACTTAAGACAGTCTTGTAATAGAAAGACTATGAATACCGGCTTCAGAATTTGCAGGTCTAATAGATCAAAAGACTCGAGGAGTTCAAGATGTTGAAATATCCAACGATCTAATACGAATTCGTTAACACTACAAGTACCGAGTAGTCATTATTGGCAATTTGTATTTTTTTAGACTAATATTATGTTTCTTGTATAAAAAATAGTGTAAAGAATTTTTTTTTTAATAATTATGTTTTTTATATCGATGAATATTTGGTTTTCATCATTTTCTTTGTGTTCATAGTAATTTATTCGCTTATAAGTCCTTTTAATAAAATAATGTTGGTATTCTAGTGTTAATTGAAGATACGGGGATCGGAGGAAAACTTGAGAGCGCAAAATCAATTCGAATCCATCATGATACTTCGCGAAGTTCCGTGTCACTCATGTGGACTTTATTTAGACGGATTTTTTTGTCAATTGTTTTGGAAATTGAAATCAGTCCTTCCTTAACGGTAGATCGGAGGATTCTGCAGAGTGGTACATCTTCGATGAATCGCGATGATTCAGGAAGAGTGGAGAAGAATGGAAAATAGACAGATGGTACTTTACGCTTGCACATAGGCTTCCGCACGCGTGCCTAGCGACTGGCTCCGAGCTGTACCGAGTGTTCAGAAAAAAAAAACAAAGGGATCTTGAAGTCAAATCTTTCAAGAATGTAGAATTTCTGAAGAATAAAGAAGTCTTAACATCCTGGAAACTTGAGAATCAGAAATTCTCGATGTCCAAGCATTAGGTTTTTAGGAAATACAGAAGTCATGGAACTTTCTAAAGAAAAGATCTCAGCTTCCCCAAATATCTCAGATTCCTGAGAAAGTTTCATTAAAATACAATTGCATAAAAGATGTCTCCGTAACGAAGCACCCTCGAAAAAAGAATCTCAACATCCAAAGCTCGTAAAATATCTAACTCCAAACTACCTCCAATTAAGTTCCCCTTTTTAATCCCACGACTTTGACCATCCCTCTGTTTGACGTTTTTTCCCCTCTTGCGCGTCCATTAAGTCCTCTTCCACACGTCTGACGCAGTCTTCTTGCGGGACACCCCGTATAGCCAATAACATCCCTCTGACGGCTGTTCTAGTAGTAGTGGCAATAGCAGGTTGGAGTTTGCTAGCTGGAAGGGTAGCTTGTCGTCGGATAGGCTGTTGGTTGCATGATGCGGGGAAAAGCGAGGAAAAGAGGAGGAGAAGGAAAAGGAGGAGGAGAGTGGTCGAATATTGAGCGACGCCGGGCGTCGCGGCGCAGTGTGCGGGCCAGTCGCCCTCCAGCCACCGCCCCAGTTACGACTTGAGCGACATTTCCGGCGTGCCTAACTCTTCTCTTTTCTGGTCTAGTCCTCTTCTTTTCCCTTCCAGCCACCCGCGACTCAGTCTCGCGCGACCGATCCCATCGTCGAGATCACCTGTCCCGAGACATCCTCCGCGAAACAACCTCCTCTTACGAATCGAAACGACAATATGCTGATCGGTCTCGTGCGCGACTCGGTGCTCCAGTGCTTCTGTCACAGCTGCAAGGCCCCGTTGGGCGTCGTAGGTGAGTGAGTCCCTGTCGTGCGAGGACCACTACCCCTATCTACCACTATCTGAAGTCTTCCTTCCGGTTTTTCAAAATTCATAAAGTTTGGATGATAAAATGAGCAGCTGCTTTTAATACTCGATCTTGAAGTATTTGAAAATCACTATTCAATTTTTCATGATCTTAAGTAATCATATTTCTTAATGAGCTTAATAATGTCAGTCTTTTTGAAAAATGGGAGAAATATAGACTTTGTATTTTCAAATTATAAGATATTTAGGAACTTATAAAGGAGTTAAAAATGTTACAATTCACGGTAGAAATTTCAGCACTAATTTGTCACAGAGCTTTCTCAGGGTGGAGCTCTATAGAAGTAGTCCTTCATAAAAAATCGGTGGTCTTTGCAAAAGATTTTAAAATTGTTTTAAAGTTTCACGAATATATATAATTTCTTATTTCTGAATAATTTTCTGAAAAGCAGTTTTATGATGGTCTTCTTGACAGCGCCAATCTTTGTACAGCAATTTATTTTTTTCTATATAAGATTAAGTCACGTAAAACAAAATTCGGTTTTAGAGAGAATTTATCCACTTATCCAGTAAACAGAGTATAGTAATGGTTCTTCACAGAGCAGTCGTGAATTAATCTAACATTTATTGAGCCAAATTTGCTCAGGTAGCTTTTATGTTATTTATAGAATAATATTGAATCGCAGTACGTAACTTTTCAAAGATCACAGCATCTTTATTAAAACTTCTTATAAATCAATTTTGAAGTTAGACACTATTGTGAACTATTTATGGTTTTAAAGTGCATTCTTTTTCTTTAAATTTAAATGGTATTGCTTTTTTTTCGGTGGTTTCGTATTCTTTTTATACATTACTTCTACTTGCATTTTTTAGAACAAAAATGTAAAAGTACTGAGTATTTTTTCATGATTACTTTAAATTTGAGATGATTAAAGAGTAAAATTTAAGGGTCGGAAACCGGAAGAAAGTAAATGTGATCTTCAAGCACCAACTACTGGACATATTCTCAGAAAAAGTTCCTAATACACAAATTATCCTATTTCATCTTGCTTTATCCTTTGAGAAAGAAACTTACGGAATGAAAGTGTCAAATGCTTGGAAATACATGCGACCGTTTTTTATCGATAGGAAATTTCCGCGGAAAAATATACTTTGATCTCTTGATTATTAAATTGTGAATCAAAATTGGTATTACTTTTACTATATATTTTATAAATATTTTATTTAATCAATACAATTTAATTGTATGCTATTATTCATTCATTTTTAGTTATATTCTTTTTATGTCATCTTTCACTTTAATGATTTATGAAGTTCTCTTGTTTATTTAACATTCTTACTAATCATTCTGATGAAATTACTTTATGTATTTTATTTTATGAGATATTCAATTCTGGCTATGTATGTAATTATTCATGATCGATAAAGAGACATTTAAGAACTTTGTTGAATTTTACCAATTTTTTCGGAGAAGAAATTATGCTTTTCGTGCCCTCTGCACGCGAAGAGCACTGTCCTTACCGCAGTGCACGACGGTCGACGTCACGGTGGTATCGTGACATTATCCTGGGGCACCTGCAGTTCGATCAATTTCTCAGACCGTCCGAATCGATACTTACGGTCTACCATTTTTCTCTACGGGGTGTCGCAAAACATCATTTCTTCGTAAAGATCGAGACAGTTTTTCGTTGACATGACTTAAGATAATAAAATTATCTCTGTGTGAAAAAGATCGATGCAACGACCATGGAAAATAGCTTTAGAAATAGATACTTTATATACTTGAAACAAATTATGAAACAAGTTATTTTCAGTGACAAAGTATTTTGTAAAAAAACATTTTTTATTTTTTTTTAGCTTGCAATTTTATCAAATTCAATGTAACGTTTACTTGGTTCAATAAATTAATACAAGACATTTTTATCTTATAAGTACCAAAAGAAAAATTAATATTTATGTTTTTATATAGATAATGTGTTGCGTTTTTACATTTTCCAATAATATATTTATAATATTAATGGGCAATATCTACCGTCTAGCTTGCGCATTTTATTAATAACGTTGACACTAATATTAAGAAATAAACTAACGATACATCTTCTTTCATATTTTTTTTTATTTTTGAAGAATTATTGGTGAATTGAATTATCTTTGACGAATTATCTTCGACGCAGCGATGTGTGCAATGCTAACGCGACAACTGTTGGTTAACTGGTTTTTTTGTTAATCACTCTAACAATATCCTGAATTTTATCACCGATACGCACGTGCTCGGTTCACCGAAACGATCAGGGTGCGGTCCAATATGGCTACGCGAAACGGTCGCATCAATTTTCCGATAATTAACCCATTGAGATACCAATCGATCTCTCAGTCGGACAATGACATACACGGTGCTAATTTCGTCCCCTTTATAACTCCTACGTTTTTAAAATACTTATGCTTTGATTGAAATACGAGCGAAGTTGTTATGTCATGCAAAACACGATCCGTAGACGTTTCCTTTCCGTTTTATGATTATTGCGTCATAAAACCTCCATAAATTTTACACGATCAATATTTACATTGCAAACAAGAGATAAAGAAGCAAGTAAAATCGATATTTGTTACTGTCATATTTATGGTATTTTGAATTGTCGCAAAAATGTTATGACTCTTAAAAGTTTTTATAATTGCGGCGTTTATCTTATGCAATAATAATTGCATAAACGAGTGAGATGATCTCTCAGTGGGTCAAAGCGCAATTCCGGCTCTATTTCTTCCTTCTTCCTCATTAATCTGTCTCGAAAACTCTTTACGAGTGCTTTGACCGTGTCTGAATTTCCGAAGCGGGACAGAGGAGGAATAATGCGCCGTTTAAGAAGCCGAGCGGCAAGGGAAAGCCGCGGACCAAGCAGCCGAAAAAGGTGAAGTTCATCAGTGAGTATCTGGATAATTGAACGAGCTTTGGATGACGTCAAAGAAACGTATTTGATGCATCTATATCCCTCCGATCGAATTGCATCGATTTCCTTAGAATTCTAGGATCTTTTCGCTAAATATCACAGAGAAAAAATTTCAAGATACTTGACAACAAAATTTCAACAACAATTCCAAAATAAACTTGACAAACATTTTGTGTCATCGATTATTACTATTTGTTATTATTATTATGTGTGAAGATATATATTTTTTATTACGAGAAATTATTTCTCTGGGATGTTTTGTTTGTGTGAGAAATTTTATTTTGTTTTTAATCGAATAGTTATGTTGATGACGATTTGATTGATAATACCAAAAGTTGATGCATCAGGGAACATCTTGTTTCTTTTTCCCTCTTTTTAGCCGAGTCCTATTCTTTAATTGTACCTTAAACGATTTTATTTACGTGATCGCCGCGTCATTGCACCTGCGTCGTGTAGTTTAATTCGCGTAATATGAGAATTCCTGCGTCTGAGAGTTAAAAGGGAGCACCTTTGCTGTGTTAAAGATCGGTGCAATGCCCTCGGCAAGAATGGTCGCGCCAATGTGTCGCCGCTGAATTATAAATCGAATGCGGGGAACATTTGCAAACTTGTATTATGCTGTACTACGTGGAGATATACGGCGATATCGATAACTTTTCATAGTAATGACATTGCAATTCTATCTAATACGCTGTCCTGATCTATCAAGTAGAAGAATATTAGAGGCGCGAAGTCAAAATTTCATTCGGTTATAAATTATATTAAAATGTGATAAAACAATTATAAACGACGATTATGCCAGAAGGTTTGCGGGTTATTTGAATTAAATTAAAAATGAAGAAAGACACGGCGATAACCCGCAAACCTTCTGGCATAATCGAAGAAAATACCCGTGAAAGCCTCAAAAGTGTAATCAATTATAAACGACGTTCAAACGATCAAACGTTCGTTTGAACGTCAATAATTTATGTTTTGTCCATACCTGAGACACGAAGTGGCGAAAAGATAGAGCAAAGAAAGGAGGTACTTAATATAACGGATTACGAATCACTTTTCACAATTAAATAATTACTAGAATTTCCAAAAATTGCCATGGCAAGAAAATTAATGCAACACGCTATGATATACCGTAATCACGATATGGCTGGCAACAGCAAGGTGTATATAGTGCGACGAGATGAGAAGGGAGGTATAGAAGAGGTGCGTGCGACGACGCTAGACGTCGCGGCGCCTACGGCCGATCGTTCTCTCTGATCGATCTCTCCTTGCTGCGCCGCTCTCGTGTCTCTGAGTCATGCTTCCGCAACCAGCCGGCGCCGGAAATCGTGAAATTGTGAATCTCGCCAATGGGACTGTTGCACCGAAACGTGACGTCGATACCAATCATTCGAAGATTGAGATATCTGAAAGTTCTAACATTCAAAGAGTACTTTTCAGCAAGAGACACAGCGTAATACAGTGAATCATTATATGTCCTTGTTGTTTGCCAATGTTAATAAAATGAAATGATTCACTGTGTTACACTGTGTCATCTGTATTTTTTTTTTTTACTGAAAAGCATTTAAAACTAGATAAAAATCTTAGAAAAAGATATTAGGACCTTAGAATTTACTCCTTATCTCTTTTCAATTCTAGAATTGAAGAGATGAGAAATAAATTGATCCTCGGTCAAACTGTGAGTTGTAAAAGTGGACCTAAATATATTTGGATTTTTTTATCAAACAACAGAGGAATTCTATTTTGCAAGATAAAACAAAAATTATTAGAACTAAATACCGATGAGAACATGCCGTAAAAAATTATTATATTTTCATTACTTATAATTAATATATAATGTTATTATTGATAATTATCTGTTTTTTTCTGAAAAACATCTAAAATTAAAAAATATCGATCTTGAGCATATAAGTATGTTCGGATATTTTTGCCACACGACAGAGGAATTCTATTTTAGAATAAAACAGATAAGATAAAAATTATTATATTTTTATAATTTACTATTATAGTATTATTGTTAATAATTATTTTATGATTGTATGTAATTTAATAAATTGTATAGAATGTCACAGAAACGTCACTATTTTTAATGTAAAATAGCAATATAAAATATAACTAAAATGTTAATTTTTTGTTATATAACAAAATATAGGAAATAGAATGCTATTTGAGTTTATCTCTGATTGTGAGTATATTTAAGTAATGACTGCATTCAATAGACAAAGCGGTTCCGACAAGAACCAGTCATATTGAAGAAAGAATCAGGAACGCTTACTGAGTTACTTTGTCACAGTCTATATTCAAAGTCTCTGTGAAGTTAGCAACCTCAACTTTAAAAATCGGAAATTTTAATAACAGTACTGCTTGCACTCGCAATAGTTCTAGAGTTCCTGATAGGTTTCATCAATACTGTTGATTTAGGCCAAAAATTCTAAAAAATAAAAATATGCGGTGCTAACTTCGCGTGGCACCGCAAGATTTGAAAAAACCGATTTTTATGACGGAATCTCACAGTACTTCGAAGAGTACTACAGTTTCTGATCGATTATAACAATAGTACCGGCCATTAAATATTTTTAAATAAATTTTTAAAAAAAGGAGCTCGCACCTCAACTTTCAAAAAAATTATTTTTTTTTGCGCCATTTTGTAGTACTCGAAGAGTACTACAGTTCCTGATCGGTTTTAGTGACACTACCCACCTTTTTAATATGTTTAAACAATTTTTCGATTCGCGCGCTGACACCACACATCAAGAGTAAAGTGCCTCCAAACAGTCAGTACTGGCTTCAATTTCAATAAAGGATTTATTATATCACACACCAACACCTTGTGCAGACCCGAATGACATTACACCTCATATTTTAGATTATTAGTAGAATTATTGATATATAATATTACTAATAGTTATTGATATATATAATACCATTAATAATTCAATATATAGGAAGTGCTAATAAGAGTCGACAGTTGGTGTTGATATGTTTAATTTTATTCAAATGTAATTATCTATGTATATGAATATAATTTTCCAGCAAATGTCTTATCGATGTTTACTGGCACTTCTCATTTATTTTGTCAGAACCTATAATCTCTTAACTATTAATAATTATATAATAATTAATGATAGATATTAGTCATTGATGAGAATGCACGCTTCACTGAAAATAAGAATAATGTTCATTATATTTCGATATGTAAGATCATTATGTTACATCGAACACTCGTTACATTGCATTGATGGAAATTTTACAGCGACCGAGATTCGATGCCAAGAAAAATCCAAGGGCGGGCTGTGCTATGAAGTGATCCTGGCAGAGCCGACGGTGCCTAAGAGAGCGCCTTCGCCGCCGCAACCGAGTCCAACGCAGCAGACCGCGATTGAGGACAAGTTGAAGGCCGCCGAAGAACGAAGACTATCCATCGAGGCGCATAAGCTCGCCGCCCTCGCTGCTAAGCTCAGCAAGATCGAGGAAGCATCCCGCAAGAAGGACGAGCTCAGTGCGGCCTTCATCACCGCCACCCGCGAGTCCTTGGACGCGAAAATGAATAATACGGAGGAGAAGCGGGAGGCCCATATCGCTGAGCTGAAGAACAAACTGAAGGATCATGTGAGTAGAGTTGTAGACGAGATCTAGATCTTTTTAATTGATTATTAAATTTCGCTTGATTGTACAGATGATTAAACAATTATTCAACAAACCTTCAGATGACTGTTGCGGTAGTTAATTTGACTTTCCGTTGCAGTTGGAGAGTGTTGAGAAGACTCGCCTGAATCTCGAGCAACAAACTGAGGAAGTGCGATCCGCTGTCGAGGAGAAACTGAAAACTGTCGCGGCTCAGCGTGATGAAAATATCAAGAGGATGTTGGATCGTCTCAAGGAACACGTTAGTACAAAATCAAAATGAACGGTGTTGTAAACGTGAGGATTAAATAACTAAATTATAAGCTGTAGGCCAATTTTGCTATATGCGAAGAATTTAATTTTTTAAGATTCATAATTATTTATTTAACACACGATATTTTTTATTTATATAACACTCATTATATTTGAAGTGATTGAGGTAACAATAAAACGCTTTTAAATTTGTATTTGTAACTATCATTGTTTTTTTCTTTTTTGCAAAACTTCGTTTTGCATATTTTAATATGCATAAGAGTATATAGGTAGATAATAGATTCAGCAAGAATAGACTTAAGTTATTGATTCGCGGCCTCTTTGTAGGAAGAGCAAGTTGCTCGTGTACGTCAAGGTATGTCAGAACGCGTGCAGCAGTTGGAGTCCCAAATCCAGGACAAGTTGGAGCAAGCACGCGAACGTCGCGAGAGCATCGAGCGCGAGCAGATTGAGAAGCTGCGCAATCATGTAAGTTCCCGGCCGAATGTAACCTTCGGAGTTGATGTAGTAGCTTTAGGCAGTACGTCAGTTTCTATCAGGTTGTTACGAAACATCGTCGATTTTCAGATCGATAAAAAAAAATTAAATCAGTCTATGTTATATTGCAAAGCTTTGCGAAACTTCGTGTACTTTAATTTTTTTTATTTAGTTGATATTGTTGAGATTTATGACTTCTAAAAAAATCGAATAAGTTTGAGGATCCGAGAATCACCAAAGTTTCAAAAGTTAACTAAAATGTATTTATAAAGAATTCGTAAATTAAATGAATATAAAATCATTAAAATTACACATGAAGTATAAACCTGAAATTTAATTAATTTATAAATTTGTGAAATGTCGATATATTTAATACTAACAAAAGTTTTCCGGTAAATGATTGTAAAAAAAAGCGACGAAAAGTTGCGTGACAACCTAAAATTTTTAACCAAAGCATTGTATTCCTGTGCTTTTAAAAAATAGATAGAAAAATATAAAAAGCGAATCGGATTACCTCGGATTGCGAGGTTTTTCTACGTAAGAAAGCACTGATCGAACGTAGGCGTTTGTGCGATGGTGGTTTAGAACACGGTGAAGATAGCGAAAATGCGTCAGATGGCGGCGCGCGAGCTCCTGATGAAAAAGTGCGAGTTTGACAAGAGGGTGTCGACCGCGGAGATGAATCGACAGCGAGAGATCCAGCATCGCGTGCAGGCGATTCGCCGCCACCATGTAATTTCGTCCCCACACGTATTTTTAACCGCAGTCGCACCCCTGCAAATAATTTGTCGTACAAATCGATGCTTGCAATAAAAAAGATTGCTAGAAACATTTCTGAAAAAGATTGCTAATTTCCTAGAATTTTCGTTTCTTTTATTTAGTATATTTATTAATTTATTAGTAATATATTCATTTATTATTTATCAATATTAAATAATATAGTCTAAAGAAAAAAAATTTATTTTATAAATAAAAATTTTTATATAATTATGTAACGTCATAGAAGCTTTAGAAATTAAAATTTTTATTAGATACCATGACAATAACATGTTTATTTTCCAAATGATAAAATCAGATATTAAATTATAAATATTAGAGGAGGCATATTTAATTCGCAGATATTTCAGAGATATTATTTTAAAGATATATTATTTCAATCGTTATTTCTAAATGGTTAAAATTAAAATCAGAAATTAAATTTGATCTTTCTCTACAGATATTATTTTAGAGATTATTAAATATTTATTTTTTTACAGAGATATTTTTTATCAAATATAAACAAACGAATAACAAAAATGGAAAAAGTAACTTGTGTTTTGCACTTGTATTTATACATTTTATTTCGTATATTTATTATATATTTATATTTTATTTATAAATTTATAATGTATGTACATGTTATATACAAAGATAGTGATTTTAGAATTGTGATTAAAATTAATATGACGAAGAGAATAAAATAGTACGACAAATTGTAATGCGTGGGTCGCATTAAATTACGTATCAATTATTTTTCTTAGTTTTATATACCTTCTTCCCTTCCACCGTCGCGACAAATAGCTTGTTATATTTTATATAGAATCACGAAGTCATCGATAGTTGCATTTGTAAAAGGAATGCTGTTGTCGTGCTTTCGCTGGATTATGTTGGATTATGTGCAGCCTTCATTTCATATCAGTTATCTTTCTTTCAGCATGTAATCATTTATAACTCATACGTGACCATTTTACGTACAGGATATGCCGCAGAAGACTTGGTGCTAAAATTTTATCTGTCACGTAACTTACATGAAAGATTTATTAACAATTAAACTTCACTGTCTGCAATAAAACCAGAATTAATTTAAATTGAAAATTAACGATCATATAATATTAAAATGACTAAGTTTGAGAAATTCCAAAATATTCTTCTTCGACTCATCCTGTGTAAACAACTCGTCAGCTTGTTAGAAAGCATGGCGTACTTTTTGACCTTTGTCTTTAATAGGACCAAAGAATATTATTTTAATTCTGTAAATCCTTTTTTTTTCTTTTTGTAGGAGAGGCGCGCCGAGATGGTGAGACAGAATAAGAAGGACCGCCAGGATAATATAATGAACATAGCGAATCCGATCTTACCGGTAGAGAACGAGACCGCCAGTTCCGGTTAAGTATCCGGAAATTCTTTTCAAGGCCGCTCGAATGCCCCGCAAAGCTCCGTTTCGCTTTGTTTTTTGACTCGAAGTAAAACGGGAGGTCGATCGCCGCGCATCAGACGTGTTCGTATTTCGAGCAAAAGAGGTATGCGGAGCCGAATCGTTTCTCCTTGTGCGGTTACTGGATGTCGTATGGACAATACTGCCTTCATCATATTCTCACTTCGGTAACGATAGAAAGAACGCTTCTTGAATTTTGAAGGGAAAGAATGAGGATAGTTTTGAGATTGCTGCGAAAGTTTAATTTTAACTGACATACGACAGAATTGTAGGCGTTAAAAAATATGGGGCACAAAGACATAAGAATGAAGTTCTATGAATTGTGTGAAAAAAAATGTAAGAATTTTTAAAAGAATTATTACAAGATCGAAATATTTAAAGATTTAGAAGAGTTCAAAGTTTTCAAAATCTAAGAACTTTCTTATATTTTTTTATTCATTATAATTGTAAAAATTGCAAGAAGCTATTGTAATATCGATATATTTCAAAATAAGAATATCGAGAATGTTTAGAAACTAGAAATTTTTTTACAAGAATGTTATAAGAGCTTATGACAGATCCAAAGAACTTTTGCAGCAACCTGAAAATATATGTTTCAAAGAAATACGCATTTTTTACATAAAAAATAATTCAAATTGAAATTGAAATTAAAATCACATTTTAAAGCATATTTAATTTTGATTTTTAATTATTTTTATTAATTTGTAAAATACAACGTACTAAAACATTTTTATTGTGATTAATTTGATTTGATTGAAAACATTTTTCATTTTGATTAATTGACGAAAAGTATGTCCACAGGCTCCAGAGAAAAATGAAAAAGAATCCAAAAATACAAAAATGATCTTTTTAATTGTTTATAGATTTATGTATATATCGAATAATTGTGTCTTTGTAATATTTTTTTTTATTCACATATGTATTACTATCTACAATTTTGTTCACAATGAAAACAGTATAAAGTCTACGAAAAGATCTCTATGATGGCTAACGATCGATTAACCGTTATTACCGTTTGGTCTTTTTGAATCGCAACACAATGCATCATTTCCTAAGAAAGAAAGAAGAGAATTCGATTTGATAGAGATTAAAACTGATTATTATAAATCACTATCGCTACAAGTTAGGTACTAAGTGGTGCGACTGCAGCTTTGTGTGCATGTGCACACACAAGAGGATATGATGTGTGCGCGATGTGTGCCAGCGTGTTCAGCACACATTTATGATTATATATATAAATATAATATACGTATAATTATAATGATATATTAATAATAATAATGATAATAGTGCTTTATACTAGGCTTGAAAAACTTGAGAAAACATTTTGTACTCATTGTAATATTACTGCGCTAACCAAAATGAGAATAACACTCCCACTGAGAAATGTAGTCTAACAAAATATGATAATGTGACGCTTCTGTGATGACTTTAATTATTTGTCAAAATGTGTAACATTTAAGTGTGAGTGAGAGAGTGACAGAGAAGGAATGAAAGAAAGATTGCATGAATGAAAGAGTGCGAAAAATGTAGGAAGAGAGAATGAAAGACATTTTGTTTTTTTTTTTTAAGTAGCACGGTTGTGACCAGGAGAAGTTTGTTTGCATGGAGGATTTGAAACACGTATGGCATATAATATAATCTTGTTAGGAGCTAATCCTGACCCACACGAAGTAGCGTCTGTTACAATCGCTGGTTTATATGCTTGCAGGGAAAAAAATAAAAACAAATGAAAAAGGCAAGAGCAGAGACGTTACAATATTTTCTGACGACGAGAATTTCCGGTGGCATCTAAAGCAAAGTGGTTTTAAAGCTTAAGTAACTTCTAAGTAATCTTCAGAACGTTTTGAGATTAATAGGAATAAAATGTAATAAAATTTGGCATATATAAACTCTGGCTTGTACAAGAAATTAGGATTTAATAGAAGTCGAAGCTTTGAAGAAAAAAAAAAGAAACAAACTTTGGAGTCCTAAAAGTCTACACAGTAAAAACTTGCGAGGTTCCCCAAAATATTTAGAGTACTCTTTGAATAAGTAAAAAAAATGAGAAACAGCTTAGAAAACTTAAGCCTTAATCACAGTGCCGCTGCAGTTCCAAGTAGTAGGACACAACAGATCGTAATTATATAATCATAATATTCATTAGCTTTCATCTCATAATCCTGATCAGTAGTTCCCAAGCTACTCTTTAAGATTTCATAAAAGCTTCTAAGTTACTACGATATCTCCTAAATCTAAGAGGCGAAGATTCTGAGGGCTTCTCCAAGAGTCTGCCAGAAGTAATTACCGCATTTCGTAATGAATAATTAAATTAGCTTAATTTTTAATTACGATGTGTATGTTGCACTTTCATTAATTTTTGTAAAAATTCAAATATAAATAATAGATCTTGTTATTTTTTCTCTTTTATATGTATTCTTGGGAATGTCTGATTGTTTGCATTATTGGCGCGCATTTAGCCCTTCTGCACTCCTAGATGTTCCAAACATTTAAACAGAAACTTAAAAACTAGCTTTAGAGAATAATTCTATATAAATGCGCTTTAGAAATTTTTATAAGTATCTTTTACTAATTGAATGATTATATGTATATACACACATACACACGTGTTCACACACGTACACGTGGTATTTTATAACAAAGTTTTTGTGGGTAGGGACAGGTAGAGTGGACTAAAGTCGAACTTCGAAATTATTTAGAAATATCTTACGGAAGTTTCTAAACAGCTTTTAAAGATATCTTAAAGTTGTTTTATGCATCAATTTTAGATGTTCTGTTGGGTATCTAAAAAAAATTGGAAAATAATAGAGGATTTTCGACTCAGTTTAAATCAGTCTACCTGTCCACAAGCGGTATGTCAAAAAGTTTGAAACATCCTCTATAAACGTTTGTTCCTTCTGACCTTGTTTCCGAGAGTTACAGACATACAAATGTTTTCGTATTTTATTAATTCTTGTTACAAACTAAGCTAACATAACGTTTTTTCACACATTTCTGTCTTTAAAGAAGTCAAAACACGAAGACGCAGTGAAGATGCTACGCTAGCTGAATTTGTAACGAAAATTAATAAAACATGAAAACGTTTGTAACTCAAAAATAATGTAAAATAAATGTTTATATAAACTTGTGTTATTTTCATATTTTAAAATTTTATGTTTACTATTCTATTTATTTTATAATATTTTATATTTATCTTTTTTTACATTAATAATGATAAAGGTGAAAAAAAATTTAAAATACAAAGCAATTTTTTTACTTTTTATTTACAAAATTGTTCTTAACAAAAATATCTTGCAAATGCTGTCGTATTTTTCTCTTATATTTACCGTATGTTTGATTTTGTTGGAACAAAATTATTTGTGATGTAACGTTGATAGAGAATAGGCGCCATAACTCAGGTTTAAAAACTTATATGATTTTTGTGAGAAATCCTTCACGTATGTACCTATATATTCTTAGACTAACCGTATCTTATTCCACATAAACTGAAATTAATTTAATATTCGTTATTTAGTGACTACATAATTACACTTAAAAGTAATTGATTACGACTTAAACAAAGTGGGCTAAACGCGCGTTTTTTTCCAAGATGTAAGTAGATCTCACTGAGAACGCCTAATTGCATAAATACTAATTAAGCGTGGAAGTGATGAGTGGAAAGGAGAGAGAGAGAGAAAAGACGGTGAAAGGGTGAGCGACGAGAAATTTCCGGCGTACTTTCAAAGAAGAGTCGAAGAGAAATTTATCTTGCCGTGTCACGACGAGTAGTGGATAACGTCTATATTTTTGCATCTCGTTGTAATCCTTTGGAAATTGTATTCTTGTGTAATAATTATAGACGCTACGTGACGTATGTCTCTTGACTTACGTTACAATATATACTGGGTGATCCACAGAAAGAAAAGCAGGTAACAGCGCTAGAAAAATTGTTTCCGATCGAACTTCCGGTGTTAGGATAATCTCGTATCTTTTTTAGGGACAGCCTGTATAAATATTGCGCGACGACCCGTGTAGTGTGGGCCAACAGTTGTAATCTCTTAAAGCTTCAAGCTTCTTTATTATATTGAAAAAGATAATAAATTACAAAAACTATTTGAGTCATAACTCCTCTTAGTACCAATTATATCATTGCAAGCAATTTTATTGCATGTATAAATTACTTTAGATACGTGATTTTTTTTATTACCGACGATTGTGTTCGGTGTATAAATTATAAAAAACGTATATTTCTGTATATCGTTGTTGCAGATCAATTCTTTTTTTTTTAATGGCTTTTGGTCCACATTCGATATATCGCGGGTTTCATGGGCTTTGATATCATCTCGTGATGAAGATGTATATTATAAAATATAATATATACATAATATCCTACAGTGTTTAAAAAAAGGTTTTATGTAGTAGATATATCTATGTGTGTGTGTGTGGAGTAAAAAGTTTTAGTAATCATAGGTCGAAAACTGAACTGTTTTGTAAGATAAACAATTTTGTATGTTAATAACTAATTTATTAGCTTTTACGTATTGCATGCGACGTGATTTACCTGAATGTTCACAAATCGCGTTCTAAATGCTACCAAATAGACTATCAATTGATATAATTAGGCAATGTTTTGACACGGTCCGGGTAATACTAACATTATATATAGCAAGGGCAACTCGGACAATACCTATATTCATTAACATTTTCACCAAGAAATTATTTCAGTTGTAAGAGCCTATGCCTTCAGCTGAAAGATTATATATTCATATAGTATATATGCATGGTGGCGTCGAGTGGCTCACCGCTCTGTGCGATTGACTCGCGATTTGTAGACCCGAGTTCAATCCCACGTGCGCCCAAACGCGATTTTTCGCGTTTAATGAGCCAAAAAATGGCTCCATCTGGTGATCAAAAGATCTATGATCATCAGCGCCGTTCGGATTCGGCGTTAAACTGTAGGTCCTATACATCAGTATACATATCAGTAGATATTTGTCTCTAATATCTGACTGAGGTAGGATTCTGTGGACCAATCACCCACAAATCCGAAAAACAATCTGATTCGAGAAACGAATATAGGCCTCGGACAAAAGAGGTCTATAGACGTCCTATGCTCCACATAAGGAGATAAAAGGAGTCGTTATCGTTATATATGCATGACTCCCTTTATTCATATATAAGGGTATACTTAAACACGGTATTTGGTCAAAGATAAATTGGTAGCTAGACTATAAGTTGCTTTGCTTTGCTGATTTAAGTTCCTTAGGCTAAGTTGATTCCACTTTTTGGTTAACTTTCAATTCTCTATCTTACTCTTCTACTTTGTTATGCTCTGACTCTTTATTTACACACACACACACTTTTTTGTTTAGTCAATAGATAAATTACCATAGTTTATCCGAAG